CATTGGAAGCAAAATCTTTAGAGTGTTGCTAGCAGTGTCGGTCCTGATAATTGTAGGGTCCCAAGCAAATTTTTTTTTTTGGCCCATTATATATAGAGAAATAAAATTTTCTAAAAAATTTTTGAAAAAAAAAATGTTTTATTCTGGGAGATTCAAACCCTCCACCTTGATACCATTAACATAAGCTGTTACCAGCAACGCTAATAAGCTTTTCTTGTATGAAATTGACCCCTAAATTTAATAAACTTTTCCAAGGCTCTAGGCCAATGCTTCACTAGCTTCGGTCCAAGGCCGGCTCTGGTTGCTAGTTCGACCCTATTTGAACGTGATATTATTAATGTTATACGCAAAACTATGGATTAAAGACCGGAACTTTCAATATTATATAAGAAACCCTCTTGGAATTCAGAGGAAGAGAAAATTTGGATTACCTTGTGGTTGGTTTTGAACCAGTCGCCGAAGAGGATGGTGTAATCGTCGGCGGGAGCGGGGAAGGGGACGGGACCAAGGCGCGGTTGGAGATACGGATACCTCCGAATCCACCGGCGGCTTTGTGACATCTGAGCGACGGAAAGTAATAGAAACTTTCGATCTGATCCTTGACCTGAAGAGCATAGGTGTAGTTCTTCCCTGGCAGGAATGGGCACGTTGTTCCATACACTCCGTCCTGGTACGAGTTCCTCCAGTTTTGAATCCCGCTCCTTTACGAAGAAACAAAAATTGCTAATAAAATTCGAGCAATAATCTGCAAATGCATGGAATGATAAACCATCTAAGTTTTATAATTGAAGCATTAATGATCCAAGTTCGGGTTTTCATCTGATTTAATTTTGGGTGAATTAGGCTAATATACTCTTGTAAAAGAAAACTAAAAGTGGTAGTCTGTTGAAAAATTAATTAAGTGGTCGAACAGAGAGACTAAAATCTCTACCCAAAATACCCTTCTGACGCAACAGTCCGAACCAGACCGAACCAGACATGTGCATTTAATGAAGACGTGTTGGTGTATAAAAAACAACATATCTTACCATTAAGCACACAGACAACAAAAACCATTTCTGGTTTTCTCTGCCACTGAGTATTCTGTCTCATTTAAGGTTGAAACTCAGCTTCTTATGGTGAGTACTTGAAACATTCAACCATTTTGCTCGTTCGCCATTAATGTTTTAGCAGGTTCCACAAAACGACAAATGGTATATGGCTAACGATGATTAACAAATTAATTGTTGTTGTTTATCTGTCATTTTCATTTATTGTAACTGCTAATATACAATTAATGGTTGTGGTGGCTTTGAATGCAGATGAGTGTGGATAACGAGCCTTGAGATGACTACTACGTGCTAGCTTTAGGACATTGGGAAAGCAAGGATAGGGACTGGATATTCAATTTGAACGAGGGTTCTAGCTGCACTAGTGTAATGATACGAGCAGCAATCACCTATGTCGAGCTTGTATATCTGGTGAAGAAAAAACTTTTTCTGACCTGCGAGAACAAGGATGTGGAACTTTCATATCAAGTTCCTTCATGGTTGACAAAAGATGTCCTTGGAAACCCACCAACAACAGTGGAAGCTGATCGTGACATGCGTGGGTTTTTCATCATGAACAAAGAAATAGATCAGGTGAATCTTTGTGTTTCCATCAAAGGAACCCTTCCGGGGACGGATCTGGTATGCCATAAAGAAGAATATGAAGGGTTGGGTATTGAAGAGTTCATGGAAGGTACGCAAAATTATCATGGAATGTTTTGTTATATTTTGTTATTGTATACCATAAAATTATCATGGAATGTTAAAGTTAGATTTTGTTATGGTATTCCCAGGTTGCGAGGGGAATTGTGTAACAGATAACTCAGACAATGATGTTTCTGACACGGAGGCCCACGAATTTGCTTTGGTGTGCACACAGCCTGCTAGTGATGAAGTTAACAGGGAAAACAACCTGCAAATGGTTGTATTTAACAGTACCAATGTGGCTAGCAGTAGTAATGACAACAATGCAGAGATGCCATTGCCTGACAATCCTGTGCTTGAGAACATCTTGTTCAGTGGTGAAGAGCATGCAACTTGGTTTGGAAGGGATGCACCTCCATTTGTCGATGACCATGGAACTGATGGTACCAGATAAATATGCTAAAATGTTATCATATGTATAACATATATTTTATATATGTGGTACGTAATATCTTATGGCATGTCATGACTCATTTGTGAAATGTAATT